ATAAGTATATGATCCGAATACGGCACAAGACAAAAGCATCACATCATGCTTTGCTTTGTACATTCGAGTGGTCTTCACTGTAAATACTTTATTTTCCTTTATTTTATTTTTTTAACTTACACGGAAGTGGAACGTAAGAAGTATAAAAGGTGTGAAGTGGACCCAGAATTGGTAAACCAGGACTTAGAAGAGATGCCTTTATCCAAAAGAGTCAATAAAGATCAACACGATCATAATCAAAATAAGTTGCTTCATGAGAGAGTAAAGAAGAAATGAAAAAGATTTTAATCACCAAAAAAAAAGAAAAAAAAGAGAGAGAGCAGAAACTCATTTCGTCCCCTTTTTTAACCAATGCTTTTCAATTAACGTAAAAATTGAAATATTTAGGACAATCTAGGAGAGATGATGAAAAAGAATTACAAAGTTTATTCTTTTCTTTTCATGAAATTTGGGGCGAGATTTTTACCTTTCTCTAACTATCTCGTGATTGGCCAGATCAACATCAGCTGGTCCAAAAAAGGGAGACGTAAAATCTAAAACATGTGTCAACAAATTTATTCATTATAATTTTATAGCAGGGTGTGAAAATAATATATCTGAGTACAATTAAATTACATCAAACGTCATATTAGATGTGTGTGTATGTATGTATATACACACGTCATTAATTAACGGAAATTGATAAAAATCTAATCGTCTATACTTGCACGCTATTAATAAGGTTTTTTTTATTTAAAAAAAAAAAACCGTATTACACGAATATAAACAAGTGGGATAGTTTTCAAGAGCAGCAATATCTTCTAAGAATTCTTAAGTGACGTTTAGTTTATGGGTTTAAAATCATGATTTATGATTTTAATTTTTAAAATTTAAATTTTTTATGAGAAAAAAATATTGTAGTAGAATCAATAACCATGATCTTAAACCAAGCAGAACTCTTGAAACAAACGTCACCTTAGTTTACGTTTTAGGCTAGAAAATGAGCAATATGTAGCGCGATTGGCAAGCTTCATTTTGACGGGGATTTGCCTTTGCCCAACCTATTCCTTTAATTTTCTTTCCTTCTTTCTTTTTTGAGTAATTTGACAACAAAGCACAGCAATTAAACAGCAAACTTGGGCAAATTCATGGCATTGCGGTGCAAACGACAATAATACAAGAGCATAAAATGGAGAAAATAGAAGGACTTGATTGGTCAAAGTTTGGTGTGCGGCCGGCATGCATGCATGGTTTTGGCTTTTGTCGGGTGGAGGTCTTGGACTTACGCACATTAGAGCTCATACTCACGAGATCTCTGTGTAGCCAAATCTATACATACTATAGTATTTCATTTATGCTTTTTTAGCTTCTATATTTCATTTATGTTTACCACAACAAATATATATTTAAGGACAAACATTAATAATATGTGGTACATATATAAGAAGTCGTGTAGTTGTATATATACGTCACAATGACTCGTCTTAGCAAACATCAATTTGTACTCTTTCACAATTTATATTATTATTATTATTATTATTATTATTATTATTGTTGTTGTTGTTGTAGTAGAAGTAGTATATAATCTCCTCAGTATTGAACTTGGATCCATGTAACTCGATTGTATCTCAATGTTCAGTTGTGTGGTTTGACTTTCACGATTTAGGTATTCTAGATATGTTTTTTGACAGTCCAAATTCTCGTGATGTATATATGATTTTTAGGGTTATGTGGAGAAATAAACGAGATCCAGAGAGATATTTTGAGAGTAAATTACGGTTGTATAGTGATATTTTGCTGACATAACTTATAAGAGAGTGGGGGTTGTTTGGTTGGGGGATTCGTGCCCCAATTCGAATCATGGTTCATGGTTCGTTACAGTGTTTTCTCACAAAAAAATACACGTAAATTAAAAATGATTTTAATCTCATGATTTTAATCCATGAACCAAACGTCTCAATTTTAATTTTTGTAGGCGCGTCTTTTGTATATTTTTTAATTCTTGTTTTCGTTCTCTTATTTTTCTTCAGTAGTAAGAAATAGCTAGAGAGCTTTTACTTTCTAACAACGAAAAGAATGCAGGGAGTTTTATCTTTTTAGAAAGTAAATTGTACCATTGCACACTAAACTATTCGTTTTTTGGCATAATGCACCCCCCACTTTTAATTTTGACAAACTCCACCTTAAATTTTAAAATCAGTTACAATTGAGGTCTAATAGATAATGAATATTATCTAATTGACTGTTAAAAAATTACGCAAAAATTAAATAGTTTAGAGTGCAACGATGCAATTCTTTTTTTTTTTTTTTTTTTTTCTAAGTTAGAAGTTTTTATAATTTTAGCTGTAATAGCCTGTCAGCAACCAAAACCTTTTCTAGCAAATAGAAAGCCAAAATTTCGTTGAGCAAACATCAGATGGTAGAAAATCTGTCTCTATTATATTGGTGTCACTCTCATAAGCAGATGGGACAAACAGCAGAAATTAAAAGCTTTGGGAGGGTCATGCTTGGGACTTTACATGATGGGAAATTAAAAGGGTGTGTGGGTGGGTGTCTTTCATTATGTAACTTTAGACAAACATGTGATGCATTTAATCATATCCAAGTCTCTATTTGGGAGGGGCCCACATCTCTATACGTTTCTCGTTTTTATATGTAAAATAATAATCAACAATTTCTTTGTGTGTATCTGATGAAATCCATTTTATTCGTTTCTCTTTCTATATTGTCTCTTTTTAATGAATGGAGATAGAAATAAAAATATAATAGAATATGCATGAGAATCAAAATCTCCTTTATAAATGCCTTTGCTAATCTCTATTCGTCCCACTTTATTTGATTTTATTGTTTGATTTGCCATCAATACAAGAAGTTTACGTGGAAAATTCTTATTTTATTTTGATGTGAGTTAATATCTAGTATTGATAAAGATAGTAAACTCCAATTAACAATCTACCATTAGATTAATTTACATTTTTAGGTGTTTTCTATGGTAGTCCTATTAAGTATTTAAATTTGCTGTCTAATTTTTAGTGTTTTAATTGGTGTCTAACCAATTAAATCATACCACAATATCTCATGATAAGCACAAAAGAGTTAATTAAAAAGCAATCTAAATTTTACATGATGTGGCATAATTTGATTGGTTAGGCATCAATTAAAACACCAAATTGAACAGTAGATTTGAGTACGTCCTGTTAATGGTAAAAGTTACAAAATATTAGGTCTAGCTAAAATCATATCGAAATGAAAAAAATATAAAAATTTAACAAAATATAAGACAGATCTTATAGTTAAAAGTAGCCTTCCAGATTTTTATTTATTTATTTATTTCTACCCTACCATATAATTCTCATATTTTTTAACATAACAGTATACATCTTTTATTTTATGGTAAATTGATCGTGGAACTTGAATTTTAGACGTAAATTAGGTTGAAAGCCAAAATATTCAATTATGCTTCCTTTATCTGAAAATTAAGCTTCATTTTTTCATAAAAGTTGTATATGCAATTGCCAATTCCCTTTCTCTAATTCACTCCTGATGCCTTAGCCTGAGTTCATTATTGGGCTAAGAACCATTTTGGACAGAGTCCAATACTTGTAGGCCTCGGATTGTTGGTTGGTTGAAAGTAGGACTCTTAATTCCCCCCCTCCCCTTTTGCGGTTGATGATCACAAATGAACTCGTTCTAAAATAATTTTATTTTTGTATGAAAATAAAAATGAAAACATTTTTAATTTCAGACAAAAATTATTTTTAAAAATACATTTAGTAATTTTATCAAAAGATTGTTTTCAGTAAAAAAAAAACCCATTAATGTGTCTCTCTCTGCTCTCGAGGGAAGAAAACGAAAATAAAAAATGAAAAACGACTAAAAGTCATTTTTTATTTTTCTCTCATTTTACACTAAACCAAAAAATCATTTTCATTTTTTGTTTTTATTGCGCCAAACGCCGTTTTTTCAGTTTTTCTTTCTCAAAAAACGTGAAAAATAAAAACGGCATCAATTCTAAACATGGCCATTATGGCCTATACTACAAAGTTTTTCTTTCGTTTTACAGTTTGGTAGATTTCTTAATCACCTTATAGTCATTGATATCTTAATGCTCGAAGAAAGTACATTATTTACTATAGTTTTGTGTAGGTTTATTATTTGTACTATTCTAAATACTTAGGTGATATCATCCCCTTGAGTTTTTCGAGACTGTGTCGTCTTTAATGTTTTTGTTATCCTAAAATATTGTCGCTTGAAAGTAAACTTTTATGATATTTTGTCGTTTTAAGCGGGATACCTGTTGGTGTTTGTAGGATATGTGGTCGTTTTCTGAAATCTTGACGATATTATGATTAAGCAAGTTTGAATAGTATTGTCGTTTTATAAATTTCTTGTTGTATGTAAAAAAATGGTGTCGTTTTCTTTAATTTTTACCGCAACCTTTCTTTACAACTCTTACGTGAGTATAGATTGGAGGTTTGGAATATTCTGACCAGAATGCTATGAAGGTGGCAGTAAACATAACCATATTGCTGATTTTCCTTGTAAAACATAACCCAATGAAGCTATAAACAAGATGGTATATGGTGAGATTTGAGATTATGTTGAGAAGCTAAAAGTGAAAATAATCTTGATTGTTTTTTGAACTTTTAATTGATCTTTTTAAACAGAATAATGTTACTTTCTCATTCAGATTATGGCTTTTATGGATTACAGACTCAGTTAAACAAAGATTGAAATAAATCTTTAAAAAAATAATAATAATAATTTGGAACCATATTGCTTAGAATCAAATACATTCTTTTCCTACTAGACAAAGAACACATTTTTCTTTTTTACTTCTTCCCTTTTATATACCAAAGAATGCTCCTTGGCCATCTTTCTCGGTAATTTAAAGAGAAAATGTTGGTACAACTCTTGCTTGTTGTTTTGCCGGAATATATATATATATATATATATATATATATATATATAGACACACACACACACACTTGAAAAGCAATACCCACCAAGTGATAGTCCTTAAATCAATCATCAATTGTCACTAGTGTTGGTATTTGGCCATGATTTACAAAGTCAATCTTATTCAACCGCACACAGCACAATACTTGCTCTGGCAATTCCTCTTGTTTTTGTGCCTAGCAACACAGCATCAAAGAGAAATCATTCTCTAGCTATCAAATAATGGAATCAGCTCTCAGTAAGTTGACTCAAGTTAAAATTATATCAAGGGACAATGTAATAAATAAGGAGAACTTCTGGTAGGCTAAAGGAAAAAAAAAAAAAAAAAAAAACTACCACTAATGACACAATTCTAAAACCATATGATTTTCATCAAGTTATCCGTTTATTTCGCTGATTCGAGTTTAAAATTCAAGTTTTGCTACAGTAAAAAGCTCTCACAAACAATAACATATAACTTTTTTGTTACAGTAAAAAACTCTCACATAAAATTACATATTAACTCGAATTAAAAACTCGAATCAGCGAATTAAACGGTCTGTCTGTTTCTTTTTCTTGTTAGTTTGAAATGGGAGATGTGATTTGACAAGCTCAAAATTGCGTCACACGAGTAACTCATTTCTTTTATGCCTTACCACAAAATTGTCTAATAAATAAACTTACCTGAATAGTTAAACCCAAATCAAGAATCCCATTCTTGAAACGGTCTTGAAATGATTCAAGTCCTTTTCTGGATATGTAGCTGAACCTGTGTATATCAAGGTCAATCTCAAAGTAATTGGATCCCTGGACAAACGAAAAAGAGAACCAAATTTGGTTGTTTAGCTCATAATATTTTCATCAATATGGGTATTATTAGAAGCTCTTAAATAAATAAATAAAAAGGCTTTTCTTTTTAACCTTGAAGAAATCATGCTGAGGCCTTGAGAGGACTGGCTTGTCATTATAAGCATGTAAGAGCTTCCTTTCTGCAGAACCAAGTTGGAGGTCCTCTGGATTAACCACCCCAGCAAGAATTTTTAGCCTTTCCCTGAATGAAACCGTTGATTCCCTTGCAAATCCTTTAACTTTCTCCATCTCATCTTCGACGAATTTCTACGGAAAAAGCAAAAATGTGATGAGAATCCGTAAAATGTAATATACAATAAAGACAAATAGGGATGAAAAGCAAAAGATATAGCAAAGAAAATGAATCGGACTACAGTACGACCACTTAATTCTGGTCATGCTATACAATGCATTTTCAGACAATAACTGATAATCAAAATAGATCTGGATTGTTGAAATCTTTTGTTGTTGAGTCCGCACCTGACAAAACTAGCTCAGATTTCAAAAGTCCAGATCGATTTGTATATTATATATCCAATGCCTGAAAATTTAATTTCCCGGTACGATCAGAAAATAACTGGTCGTACTATAATTCTACCAGAAGAGAATACCTTGATGTTGTCCTGAAAAGTAGGACTGATTTCTTCGTCAAAATTCTCGAAGACTTTGAAATATAAGACAAGGCTCATGCCTTCCCCATTGCAGTCACCAAGCAACATGGTTGCGGGATAAGTAGGCACCTGCAGCAACAACACATAACCAAATTCACACTCAACTCATGCATGAGCTAATGAAAAATCTTGGAATCCAACGTTTTAGGACCTTTTTATTATTATTATTATTATTATTATTATTATTATTATTATTATTATTATCATCAGTGAAAAAAGAATGAGCAGAACTCTTGAACCAAATGCTTGATCCTCTTCTTCATTCTTCTTCTTTCCTTTTTCAAACCTTTTCCCTTGTCAATGACATTTCGTTATGAACTAGCAAATGTGCCCTCTAAAAATCAATGCTTGTTTTAATTCTCATTTTCCCATTGCAAGATAAAACTATAGCTTCTACTAATTAAGATTGAGGCAACATCTTGAGAGAAGAGAGAGAGAACCTGTATGTTAACAATGAGGAGGGAAGGAACTTTGTCGTTGGCTTTCACGGAAGGAAGTTCAAGGTGCTGAGCAATGTGGCTGATCTTTCGCGGGCAGATAAATAAATCGACACCGAACGGTATGTACGGGCTGAATCCTGAAGCAGGTTGTTTCTGTTTGTCTCTACATAACAGGTTGTCAACCTTAGACAGAAATCTTAAAAAGAAATCAAAACAAAAGAGGAAAGAAAACAGAACCAATCAATGCGTGCCTGAAATAATTTTCGCCTCGGAGCTTAAAAACCGATGGTGAAACCTCAGACCAGCATCCCGGGATTGGTTTCTCTCCTGTCGAACATGGGATTCTTAGTCCTGCCCTTGGACGATACAATAATTTCTCAGCAGCACCTGAATCATAACATGCGTTTCTAATCATATGACAAAAAATATGGTTTTCTTAGGATGTGAAACTAATCAAAATACACTTACAAAATTCGGTCTTTTCGTTTCCATCAATGGACTTCCTCTTGTAAGAAAGCATGATCAAAGTGGACTGCTTTCGTGGACTGGACACAGACTGATTCTTGTCATTGAAACTCACCGAAGGAAGCAAGCGAGGCATGCAGGATTTCAAGTTGTTTTCTTGCGTTTTCTCGGACGAGAAAGCTGTGGCTCCGTCGATCTTGAGATAGCTCTCACAGAACTCCTCATACTTAGACCCCGAATCCACGAAGCATGAAGCGCTTTCGTAATGGAGCAATTGAGTACTTGGGATGTTCCCGATTGGATTGCTTGCTAAAGGGAAACCATCTGACGGCCCAAAAAAGGAAAAAAAAAAAAAAAGGAAGCAAAGTTGGGTACTAATCAGAAAATCATAGACAGAAAAGAGATTCTCTTTGTTGTAATGAGATGGAAACTGCATGACCTCCATGAACACTACTGAAGTCATCATCTGAATCCGACTCAAAAATACTAAGAGAGTCAAACCAGGCTTCTTCTTGGCACATCCCTGCATACAATTCAATTCCATTTTCAGTAAAGCACTCTTAGGGCCTGTTCTTTTCTCGGTTTGAACAGAAAATTTAAATTTTTACGAGAGTTTTCACTATAGAAAAATGTTTAAATTGTGGTTCAAATCTATAAAAACAACAGACTTTTATTGTTTTTTTTTTTTCATTAAAACAATGAATAAAATGTGAAAAAAGGGTAATCCCTGTTGCCTAGTGTTGAGCAATTGCTTCAAATTAGTTTTAGAAAAGTTATTTTTTCGTGTTTTTTTAATAAGTTATTATTTTTTATTTTTAGGTAAAGATAATTAAGAGTTTATAAATAAGTGTTTTGTATAAGATTTTGCGTGTTTAGAGAAAAGTACAGAAAAAGAGTACCTTCTTTTGAGAGAAACAGAGAAAAGTGAGGAGAGAGATAGGCAAAACGTGTAAAGAGTTTTAAGTAAAGAGAGAGTGAGAAAGTTTGTTGAGTGTGTAATTTTAAAATTATTAGTGAATTTTTCTCTCTTTCATAGAGATAAGAAAATTTTCAAACCACTTAAATCTTTATCTTCTCAGTCTTTTTATTATTTTTATTTCAGTTTATTTTGTTTGCTGCGTACGTATAAAGGTATGTTTTTCCCCCAACACCTAGAACAACACGAAAAAGTTTCGTGGTTGCAAGCTTAGTCTTGCAGTAAATTGACACCGTTGCCTCTAATGTTGAAAGTTTAAATTCAAGTGCTCCCATGAGTTCTAAAAAGAAAAGAAAACGTTTGAAGCTTTTACCGCCATTTGAATCAGCTTGGCTGTGGTTCCATTGAAGCTGAGTGAGGTGAAATGTCATGTTCGAGACCTCGGATCTCTTGCAAGTAGTGGTACTAGTAGCAGCAGCGCCTTTCTCAAAGCCGAGATGAACAAACTCAGGAACGGAGGCGGAAATCCTTCCTCGGCGTTTGCCGGATGTTCGGCACTTTCTCCGAGTCGTTCTGATCCTTTTATTCGATTTTGAGACGCAGCCACCCATTCCGACGACAATTTCACAAAGGTGTTTGTTGCCAACTTCACAAATAGAGCAGGAACAAAAGATAGCATAAAAAACCTGTAATGCAATCAAGAAAAAAGAAAAAAGCAAAAAGAAAGAAAAAAAAAACCTTAAAACTCAGCATTGATGCTCTGTAACTTGACATATCAAAACAATTTCAATAATCTTCTTTTGTGGATCAGTTACATACCTTGAATATAAAATCAATCCCAAGTGGGCAGTTTTTTTTGCCGTCTCTAGTTAGTTAGTTAGTTTCCGCTCACTACTTAGAGAAGAAAAAATATCATGTCTAAGATATCACATCGATTTGTCACAAAGATTACTCCACCTTATTCTCCATCTTTTGGAGAAAACCTGAAGACAACCCAAAAATAAACAAACAAATAAATAAAAGGTGAATTTTAATTTGATGTGTAACATGAACTAAGCGAAAGTTTTTCGCCAACTCCATGAAACGGAAAACTAGAGGATGATCTAAGAACCTTGAAGGACGTTTGATGCTTGATGTTTAACCAGAAATGTCGTAGTTAAATATTGCCTAAAAAAGTTGAAAAGGAAGAGGAGAAAGTGAATTCTTATGTGATGAAGAGAGAACAAATAGAAAGAGTTGTATTAGTCTCTATCAAGTACGGATTAGAAAAATGGATAGATGTTGATTATTTGGTAAGTTGTAAGATGTTCGACAAATTTGTATTAACAACTTGCTGATACGCGTCTATAAAACCAAATGAAATATTATTATATTAAAAAAAACCAACAAATGATTGCTTTTTTTTTTTTTGGGCATTGAAAAGGGTTGACAAAAGAACATAGAAAAATATTGGAAAGAAATGAAAATAAAATACAAATTAATCATGTTTAAAGTGAAAAACATAAAAACAGGACAGAACAATAAGGAAACAGAGAAATAAAAAAAAAAGATAATTAGAAAATAAAAAGAAGAACCAACCTGAGAAAATGAAGATCATATTCCAAGGGAGGAACCAAGGATTCCTCCTTTCTTCCTCTTTTGTCTCTCTCGTCTCTGTCTCTCTCACTTTCTCTTCTTCTTTTTTTTTTTTGGAAAACAAAAAAAAAATCTCTGTTGTCTCAAAAATGGACAAGAAATAGAATTACACAGAAAAAAAAGAAAGGCCGAAAAGAGAAAGTACGACACAACACAAAGAAGACGTGCGTTGTATTCGGCTCCTTTCTTTTAAATGTCTCTCTCTCCTGTCTCTCGTCTGTTTTCGTTCTCTTACTTTGTTTTTCTTAATTTAATTATTATTTTTTATTAATAAATCTGGTTTGGTTTTTATTGCCTGAGATTTCGCGGGCAGATGGGCATCATGGCGAATGCAGAGACAGAAACTTTAGCTTTTTTTTTTTTTTTTTTTTTTTTGTTAATACAGAACTTTAGCTTAAAATTGTTAATAAACACCCCCGCCGACTCCGCTTCATCTTTTCCCCACGTGTGACCATCCTTTTGAGAAAAACATAATATAATACTAAAATTAAATCCAACCTTCTGTTCTCTTGTTATTTCTTAGAATTTGTAGGTTGTTGCTATTTTTTGAATGTTTGATGCATACGCTTTAACAAAAGTCTAGCTTCTGTCGACTCAATATGGTACGGTACTCGTTCACTTATCATTTAGGTTTCATTCATTTTATCGATTTAAGTTTTCAGTTCTAGATTTTTGTAGTTAAAAATTTTAAAAAACTGTCACATCTAACTTTTTCGGCTACAGTTAAAAACTCTAAAAAAATATCACATCTCAGCTCGAATTAAAAACTCGAATCCGCAAAGCGAACGAGGCCTTATTAACTTTGTATTATAAGCATCCTAATTCCTTTTTTTTTTCCTACATTAAAATAAGGATGTAGTAACCCTTCTCTGAAAATAAATGTTATCGATAAAACAATTTTATGTGTTTGTTTTTAGAACATTGTCAAAAATCATATGATCATATACGTAAGAGATAAAATATAACATATGACATGTTAATTAAAAACCATATAGTATATTTTATTTATATATTATTTTAATTAACGTGACATGATACTATTCATATGAGCCGAAACTCATAAATATATATGTGATAACATAATAGTCGATGTCAACAGTAATCGGATATCATGCTATAATGTGACGTTTTAATGTATGATTCAAATAATGTTGATATATAACATTTTTCTTCTTTTTGTGCAACTCTAAGCGGCAAATTTAAAAATAAAGGGAATAAAATAGATGATCATGCACGTGGCCATAAGATGCTACAAATTATTTGACACTTTTTATCAATTCTCTTGGAGGTCAACATCATGGCAGAGTGACAAAGGGGAAAGAATTAAACAGTTTTCTGGGATGCACATCCTTTGGCAGCACGGGAATTGGGAATATTTAGTCGGCAGATAAACAAAAACCAGCCTTTTGCTAAATGCTTATCAACTTTTGTTTAGTTTCATTCCGCTCAATCACATATAATTGTAACCATCAGACTCTAATTCATAATTTTTTACAATATTTTTTCTCTTAAAAAATACACATAAAATAAAAATAATTTTAAATTGAGCCCGTTCATTTCGCTGATTCGAGTTGAAATGTGATTTTGTGTGAGAACTTTTTACTGTAGCAAAAAAGTTAAATGTGAAAAATGTAATTTTATGTGAGAACTTTTTACTGTAGCAAAAAAGTTAAATGTGACTGTTTCTGAGAGCTTTTTACTGTAGCAAAACTCGAATTCTAAATTTAAATCAGCGAAATAAACGGACCCGTATCTTCTAAATTCTAAACAAGCAATTCATGTACGTGTACTTTTTGCTTGAAAGGATGTTTCAGTTATTTTTATTTTTATTTTTTTAAGAAAATTTGTTTTCTGGTTTGTTGATCGAGCTTCATGGAAGGAATTGTCTTGTCATCATTTAAAAGTGTACTGGGTAACTTGCAAGCACACTGTAATCAGTAATGAGCTATAAATTTCTGATTGGTTTTTATTGTTTTCTTGAATTCCTTTAGAGGCATTAGTGCATCAAGCTTGGATTTTGTGTCTTTAAATACTTTAAAAAAAAAAATCAGTGCTTTCAATGAATGAAATTAATTTAATGGATCGCCCACACATGCAGCACCATTGATTGATGGTTGCAATTACTCCAATTTTTTCACCTTTGCCAATGTGGAGTTGTTCCCTTTTTCAAGTCTTTTCCTAAAGGGAATTCCTTTTTTTTTTTTTTTTTCTTTTGTATTATCCCACTCTTTACGCCACATATGACAAAGAAAGCACAAAAAAGTGTTAAAATACCCAATTATATCTGTCTTTTCCCAAAATTTCCAATGCATGAAAAATCATGTTAAATTACCTATAACCAACGGAATGATTGCCAAGGGGGCACACTTAAAAAAAAATAATTTCAACATATAAATTCTTTAGCATAAAATGTATAGGTATTTATAAAGATGGGGACATAAGAATAGGATGCTTAAGCAACCCCATTTAAAAATATTAATATTGATTAGTGGTTTTTTTTGCCTGTGATTAGGATTCTTTTAAATATTAATAAGTATTTTGAAGTAGACAGACAAGGAGACCCCTACTAGCCGTGTTGAAGTGGTTGGGCCGTAAAGCAACTTTCAAATTTTCAATATCATGAGGACAAGGTTTGTCTTTTTCGCATCTCACCTACCACTTGGAAAGAAAGACTCAAATGAACTGTTTAATTTAGACTTCCATGTTTCTAATTAAATAACAAAATTAGGTAACGAAATTTTCAGAGATTGTTTGAGTTCAATGAATATTTTGTAATGTAAGTAATTTGCATGCTTTTTAGTAGCTTTGTTACAACTTTAACTTGTGTTTATAGGGCTTAAAAAGTCTCGGAAACATCACGTTATAGCGAGAATGAAAACAAACGTTATTTTTAAACCATTTTTTAAGTAATTTATCGAGTGAAAAACAATCTAAGTAGTGAAAACAATACTTTTTTTTTCTTTTTCCTTTGTGGAAAGAATGCAATTTATTTGGTTAAAGGAAGGCAGCTGCAGCTGCTACTACCAGCCTACTAAGTTTGAAATATAACCTGTGAAGATAATCAAACGAATACAACTACAACTCGGCATTGAATAATTTAGTTTACTGCAGACGGAATGGTTCTACTATTTCGTATATTTATCAACTTAAAAATCCATTATGTTATGGATCAAGAAAAATTATTTTTTTTTTAAATATCATGATACTTAGAAAATCCATTATTTATTTGTAAAATCTATTATTATTGCCGCTAATCAACTAATGTTGACTCAAGAGTGGCAACATGAACATTTTAAAATTCATGGGATATATTGATAAAAGTGGCAAAGTTCGGGAGAATTTTATAAACATTCATTATGTTATCAATCAAGAAAAATTATTTATTTGTAAATATCATGATACCTGGATAATCACGTATAATTCACATGGACTGTAATTTTTGCTTCCACCATCCACTAAATAATTTGGCTATTGCTGACATAGTAATTTTATATATAATTTCATTGTTTTATCAACTTAATAATTCATTACGCATTATTGATAAAAAAAAAAACTTACTTATTTATAAATATCATGATACGTGGATAATCGCATATTGTTCACATGAATTGCAATTTTTTTGCTTTCAAAAACCACTAAATAATTAGTTATTACAGATAATATGATTTTATAGTTTTGCTGGATAAGGGTGGAGGTATGGCAGAGGCGTAATTTAGGAGTTTTATCAACTTCATTTCTTTTTACCTTTAGGAGATTTTTCCATAGTTTATTTTTTAATTTTTTTTAAAAAGAAAAACTAAGCTAAAGCGAAAATTTTTTTGTATCCATCATACATTCATAATTTTCGTGCAACAGATCATAATCTCAATTGAGTAATACAACTACAAACATAATTCTCAGATGTGCTATCACTAGTTGTTCCATTGACACTTGAGATCATAGTCTTATTTGTAATGAAAACATCCTTTAAAGTTGCTTTGATAACAAAAACTGCACTTTCGTGGCTTCCAATATACCTTTTTTTTTTTTTTTAAATTTAAATTTTTTGCTTATTTCCGCCATCCCTACTTTACATTTAACTGATCAGGTCTCGTTCAATTCGTTAATTCGAATTTTTAATTTGAGTTGAGATGCGATTTTGTGTGAGAGCTTTTTACTGTAGTAGAAAAAATTATATGTGATTTTTTATGAGAACTTTTAACTGTAGCAAAATTGAAATTGAAAACTCAAATTAATAAAATAAACGAGACCCGAGAAAATCATTTTTTGAATAAGAAAAATAGAAACCCGAACATAAAAAAATAAAAAAAAATAAAAAATCATTAAGCAAATAACATCTTCGTTTGGTGCAAACACACTCAGGAGGATGGAGAATATCTAACTGCTACATCAAAATCAGATAGAGAATCTGATAATAGTTCTTTAATCTTGCTTTAAACAAATTTGGCAGAGCTAGCTTCTAGACCTCCCTCTTCCCAATTTTTTATGTGTTTTTATGATATTGGAAAGTGGAGGGGAAAAAAAAAACACTGAAAATTTGTATATTAGTTTAATTGATTGTTCGATGGTAACCAAACAAAATAGAAGATATTATTTTCCCACATCTCCTAATCAATTATGTGTTGTGGTTCACAGCTACAATAACACTTCAAGGGATTAGAGTTGTTCCCCCGCAGCCAAATGAAAACCCATTACCACTTCAACAACCTCAGAAAAGTAGACCATTTATCAACTATTTATGCAAGATATACCTAGTTTTATTGTTTGCTGAGTTGTGTTATGCTTCCGTTCGTTTTATCAAAATTTTTTTATAGCTCTGAGGTGAGTCCCATGTCAGCGGGGGTGAGATGCATTTGTGGTGTTAAGTGTTCATAAATTTTCCTCGAGTCAATAATTATCTGCATAAGAACATTTTGTTGGGTCCACCTGAAAAGTTTAAGAAAGTATATAGGTAAATTTTTAGTTATAAAAATTAATAGGCAATAACTTTTCAAGTTATGGTTCATAACCAGATAAATTATGGACAAACTTGTTAATTTATGATTCATAGTCAGCCAAGTTATGGACAAAAACTGTGAATTATGGACAATAACTTGTCAAGTTATAGATCATAACCAGACAAGTTATGGACAAAAATAATAATTTGGCCTATTTATTAATTTATGTAAACTATTAGCCTATTAATTTTAATTCATCTCAAGTCTTAGCATATTTCTCTCTTTCTCCCTTTATAATTCATGGTATGATATTACCTCTTCTTAAAGGTTTTTGTGGACGAATTATCTGTGGGTTTTGTAAATTATGCTTCTTATATTCAAATTATATCTTTACTACATTATTAGGAGATAATTAGTATGTGTGAAATGTTCTGTAAGGAGTTTTGCAAGAAGTTTCTTCTCCCTTCATCAAGCAAATTTTTTTTTATATATACTTTTTATGTCTTTTTTATCCTACCTTTTGCTTTAGATTTTTTTTTTCTCATTTGTCTCTTTTTTTTTTTTTTTTTACAATATATAACCGTTATTTTAAATGAGTAGTGATTATGTATTTTTAACTCGTATTATTATAAATAAGAGAGAAAAAGCTACTTCGGAAATATATAAAGGGACTCAATAATGTGATCACTAAACCTTGATTGATTTTTCCTATATATAGTATAGTTTGAGATTTGAGACTAATCTTGCAATTCAGTCCGGTAAGTAATCCTGCTTTGGCATATTCTTTAGTTTCACCTAACCAAGTCAATGCCCCTTTTAATGGTAAATAACGTGTGAAAAGAGAACAAAAGAACTTCAACGAGTTCTGACAATTTAGCGCTTTTTTTATTCTTTTTATTTTTTCCTCAAGATTAACACCTAATGCACCAAACTTGTTTAAGAGCTCATTTATTTTATGTATTTAAACTCACAGTTTTAATTTTGTTACAGTACTTTAATCTCATAAAAATTTTAAATTTTAAATGTCAAAATTAAGAATTAATGATTTAAATGCATGAACTAAACAGACTCTAAGTGATTTAAAATATTTACCGGCGCACGATATGATTAAAATAATATATGAACAGAGAGACAATATCTTAACCAATAAAAAAAATTAATTTATGAGACAAAAACCTTCTCGTTTTTGCTTTTTTTTTTCCTTGTGAATATCCTTATATTCAGAAATTATATAAAAAAATCCCTCTATTTAATAAAGTGGTTAACAAAAACCAAGAGGAGAGTTACTTTATGAAAATTGTATTGATATTCTGGTGCTTGCATTATTATGGTCCACGAACAAGCTTTGAATCACTAATAAATTGACAATGGGGGATTTGGATAATCATAAATTTGACTAGCTTTTTATCAGAATTGACTAAATAGCATTTTAAGCCATAAATGCACACAGTGAACTAGGTACAGCTCTTTTGGATCACAATTGTAAATCTGCCCAATGCTTTGGGGACAAAGATTAAGGACACCCAAGACCGGAATTAATGCAGAAAAATTAAAGGCAAAGCATTAAAACCCCCCATGTTCTTCAAATTTATAGCTGAGCTCGTAATTTATAACCTAGCACATGGGACAGTCTTCTTTTCCAATTATTGGGATCCGAACTTCACTTATAATTTAAAGATGAGAAAAAGAGGAAAATAAGTTAAGGTTTGAGATGAATTAAAATTAATAGGTCAATAGTTTACATAAGTTAATAAATAGGTCAAATTACTGTTTTTGTCAATAACTTGTCTGGTTATGAACCATAACTTGATAAGTTTGTCCATAATTTATCTGGTTATAAACCATAACTTGACAAATTATGGCCTATTAATTTCTATAACTAAAAATTGACCTATATACTTTCTTAAGCTTTTTATATTGATCTATTTTCTACTATTTCTCTTTAAAGATACTTTCGGAAACTTGGGCCTTGGCATAGCATCAAGATAGATTAAACAAAGAAAAAGAAAGTGATAGGGAAAATTTTGAAGGAAGAAATAGAAGAAATAATTAGAGAGGAGAGAACAGGAAATATTTGCATTTAATTATTTATCAAAGTCTAAATTGAAAATTATAAATACTAGATCTATTTATAAACACATAAATCCTACTAATGATCAAATCCTATTAATTTTAAATAATCCTAATAGTAATAATAACTATAAATTTGAAAAATTAGATAAATCCTAAATTATCCTAATAGATAATCAACAATCCCAATCGATAAACACAATTTGAATTCTAATTATTTATGTTCTCGTTCTTCATCATTTTTCTATCATTAGAGAATTCAACTCCGATGAGTTAAAACACAGAAAAATCATAAAGTAACAATATGGTGCAAAAAAAAAAAATTGATAAGAAATTTATAAAATAATGTCTATAAAAACAATCATACTCTTTAAATTTATAACATCGAAGCATCAACATGATTTCATAAAATAAAATAAAACAATTTTTTTCTACAAATATCATTTTTGAAACATTTTAGTATAGTATGATTCTTTTTATGTTAAAAACTATAATCTGAAAGCCTAATTCTTTCTCTAAACCTGTGCAAATTCTCTTCTTCCCCTCCACTTCAAAAACTCATTTTGCTTTGTATTTATTTTAGTTTAAACCAGTGTTCTTTACAGATCAAAATGCGAGCTTTTCTAAATGCTTGGGACATATAGTTCTACACACCAGAATCAAAGTACAAAAACAAAAGAATTAGTGCTAAATAGCTAAGACAGTGAGTCCTCTTCTCAACGTGGACAGAGTGGGGAAACATCTCCAATGTCGGTGAACTCCACGTTATTGCAGAAAGCCTCAGCCACATGATCTCCTTGCTTGCGTCGCAGATCAACATCTCTCAACACAATTCCTTCACACCCAAAGCTCTTGCTGCAATCGAACTTTATGGCAACATCAGAAGTGCTTGTACCTTTGATGTTCTGGTACAACACATCTTTCACTTGGACCGCTGAAATCTGTTGATTATGATTATTAAAACCAAGCATTTTAATCAATACTTGCAAAAAAAATTTCATAAATATATATGGTATAACCTATAACGGTGAAAATTTGACTTTGGGGTGCGCAAATATTCTTTACCTGTTCTTTGCAAGGTTTCTTCTTATCACAGTAGTTTTGATCTATTATAATGGGATTTTGCACGTTATGCATTTCAAAGTCTATAAACTTGATGTTGCTTGCACATCCTGAACCTCCCTGTATTCACAAATATTTAGTGATGCAATCGTCAATACCAATTCTATATTTGACTAAAAAAAAAAAGTGTAAAGAGCATTTTTATGATATTTTGTTCTATTTTATACTCCAACACGATTGTGATCTTTCAAATTGATATCTATTTTTGGTCATAAATTTTGAGTTTTAGAACTCGTAAAATATAATTTCAAAAATCCAATAAATTCTCTAAAAAAAGTGAAATTTGATTTGATAATAATGTAACTATTAAGTGAGAAAAACTTGATATTGCATTAAAGATGCTGTTATATTTTACCTGCCAAGTCTTGATTCTAACTCCATTCATGGTTCTAAAAAGTTTGGCTTTTCTTACAATCACGTCTGAGACATGGGCTTCCGAATTTTCAGATCCCAAGCTACCAATACTGTATGAAAAGTGAACCAACAAAGTGATACTAAAAATATGTTTATAACAATGGATAATTTTATGGTAATGTATAAATTTATATATTGCCGATTCTATTTTAAACCATCAAATCTATATTAAATTATATTAGTTTTGCACATTTTCTTTTATTCTAATGTAATTTTGATTACATTCAACTTTCAAAAACATATACTACCGGTATCATAGAAAGTTCCTATAAGATTAGTAAATTGAGATCAAGAACACAGAAACTAGAGAATGTTATATGATTTTACCTAATTCCATGACCTGGTCCACATGTTATATCAGTAGCCCGCACTTTTTGTGATCCACTCGCAATAGAAATACAATCATCGCCTAGCACACGTAAAACGGGAAAGTAGAATAAATAGTAGATAATATATTCACTAATAGCTAGCTAGGCAAATCCTTATGACTATAGCACACATAGATACACTTCTTTTTCTTTTCTTTTTTTTTTTTTTTTTTTTTTTTTTTTTTTTAAAAAAAACAAAAAAAAGACACAGATAACATGTTACTGATCTGTTGATTAAGTGAGTTAATTAATTATACCTGTTTCTATAACACATTTGGAGATGACAATGTCTTGGGTATCTGTGACATGAATTCCATCCGTATTGGGACTATCCCTTGGTGCAGTTATAGTCAGATTAGAAACTTTGACATGCTTACTGTGTTCTAAGGAAACTTGGATTTGTTGTGCATCTTTGATTTTTAGATCCCTTACTGCCAGTTTCTGGCATTTACGCAAGGTCAGAGCCTGCAAACCAAGAGTAACCTAATTAATTCTCCAAATAATAACTAATTAAACAAAGTCTCTATACATTAATTCAATTATAACGAACAATAAATTAAAGGGAAAAATATATGATGTATTGAGGGTGGAAAACAGGGTTGGAAAACAACCGTTGGTGCTCCCTTGCATGGCTGCAAATGAGTGAAAAGCAGAACAAAATAGTTAGGCACAGATTTATGGTACTAATTTTTATTATTGGATTGCATCTCATAAAAGTAGCACAAAATGATCTTAATGACCCAAATTGATTTGTTGTTCATTATCTAGCCAGACAATAGTAAAATGCCAATGTTAACTTACGAGTGATTTGTTAAGTTTGCAAGAGTGCTTCCACCATGTCTCGCCATTGCCATTGAGAGTTCCACTTCCACAACCTTCTAGAACTAAATTATCGACCCCATCGAACAAAAGCCAGTGCCTACCTAAGTCATTGTAATCCGACCGATCATCGGATGCTTCTACGGTCCCATGAATCTGTAATCACATCACATGAACCAAAGATCAAAACTTCAATTCTAGGAATGCGCATACACATTCTGATCTCTCCATCACAAACACATGTTTTTGTGTAATCCATTGGGTTACCTGAATTGTAAGATTGGATTTGCATGGACCCTTGAATTTGATTGGTCTAACAAGATAGTTCTTTGGCGGCACCACCACAAACGCCGGAGCCTTAGATGAACAAGCTTTTTCCCAAGCCTTCTTAAATGCCTAAAAAAACGTACCCACAATTCATCGAGACACAAATTATAATACTATTAGCAATATATATATATATATATATATATAGAAGTATAGAACCAAGTTCAACCAAATGGTGATTAAAAATTGACAGGACCAAATATTTTTTGTTATCTATAAATACTTGAAATTTTCAAAAGCCCCGTCACACTTTTTGTTCATCCTCTCAAATGATATAACTGAGAAATGATACAAAACTTAGTACATTACTACCCGTTTTACATACCTCTGTGTCATCTTCGACATTCCCTTTAGCTCCAAACTCATCAACATTAAAGAACGCTGGTTGTTGAATTGAAGGCTCAGAAGGGTTTCTAATTTTCTTGTGATGCGATCGATGAAATGAAGGCTTAGTTTTATTCCTTCCTTTGTAGGCATTGGGACGGAGAAGGGAAACGACACCTGTGTCAGTGTCGTTTGTATGATGATGTTGTCGTATGTCAACGTCTTTCATCTTATTAACGCTCGGGCATCTAAAGGTCTTGCTACAAACTAATTTTATCGCAACTTTTGTAGCAGTTATGCCAGTGATGTTTTGGTACAATATGTCTTTCACACGGAACGTAGAGCTCTTTTGATTATAAGATCCATTAATTAAACAGATTGACATTTTCTTTTTAACTTCTTTATTAAGCAGATTGATTGTGGTTGATACATAGTTGTGAAGCTTATTATAAACAAATTTTGTGTTTTTCTGATCGCAGTAAATTTGGTCTATTATGATGGGGTCGCGCACGTTGTTCATTTGAATATTAACGAAAATTTTGATATTGTGGGCACTTTCGGAACCCCCCTGCATTTAAACGTCACAAACTTGAAGTTAAGACACATTGTCGGATTATAAATTTATGAGAAAAATTGTTCATTGCAAGGCTGCAAAAATCAATAGAGAAAAAAGAGTACTTAGTTAGCCTTTGAACATAAGATAAGGTTAATCTTATTTATAATCTTCCAATTTAGGGGCGAGCCCATTTTAATCTATGGTATGTTCAAAATGTCTCACAACTATAGGCCTCGATCTAAGAAATTGTCATATAAAAGTCTTTCAGTTAAAATAATCAAAAGTGGATGGAAAATGACATGTGACAGTTTTGTGATATTACTTTAAGGGTCCATATTAAAGTATTACACAACTGTACTCATACAATTGACATCCATTTTTTAGAAGATTATACATGAAAGAACTTTAATGGAACAATCTTATAGAACTGAGAGAAATTGTTGAATGTTTAAATATTTTAAAGGTTGGGATTAAAATAGGATTTGTTCTCTTAAATTCGTAACCAAAAATGGAATTAACCTAATTATACAAGTCCTAGCTATAATACTACTACAAGAAAAACACACTCAGAAAATATGACTTACGAGAAATTTGTTGATTTTGCTGGAGTGTTTCCACCAAATGTCTCCATTAATGCCATGGAGGATTCCACAGCCTTGGACTGATAAATGTTGAATAGTACTATTATAAAAGAGAAGACAGTGTCCACAATATTCATTGTATTCTGAGCGCTTATCAGAAGCTTTAATGGTTCCTTGAATCTGAATGGCAAGATTATTGGATTTGCATAGGCCATCAAAATTGATTGATTTAACAAGATAATTCAATTGGAGTACCCCAAGGATTGTTGTTCCTTTTGACGACCGAGCTTTCTCCCACGCCTTCTTAAATGCCTGCCCACAAATTTTAAAAAAAATACATGTAAACTACACTTGCTATATCTCTATATATAAACCATAAACCCTTCCAACCAAATAAATATATAAATATATACTCAAATGAGCTAAAACAATATCCCATGTATTATATATACATGTAAACATAAACTCTAGGAAGAAAAGAAATGAAAATGAAAAAAAAAAAAACCCAAGTGCCTACACATTCGCCAATAATACGTAGTATCAATAATCGAAAAAAGACTGATGTATGACATCAAATCAACTAAAACACGTCCTATGTATATTACTAACCTATAGTTGCTGATAATTACTTTTAAATTCGTTAAAACATTTGGTACTAAACTATCTTCTTTTTTACAACAAATTACTATTAGCGAACTAATATTTTTGCCACCAAAAAGAAATAAAATTTATGAGATAAATTTCAGCGAATAAATTTTCCAAATTTATCGAACATGGTTTTGAGACTAAAATAATCTACCAAACATAATTTAAAAATCTGTCAATATAGTACGAATAGTGTACCTTTTTCTGTTGAGAGACTGTATAAACGCATAGTCACCTATGATTTATATACTCCATACTTATGCCACACATACATACATACATACATACATATATAACCGCATGTGTTAACGTGAATATGAGTATATATGTCATATCTACTGTATATCAGCTAAAACAATATCCCATGTATTATATATACATGTAAACATAAACTCTAGGAAGAAAAGAAATGAAAATGAAAAAAAAAAAACCCAAGTGCCTACACATTCGCCAATAATACGTAGTATCAATAATCGAAAAAAGACTGATGTATGACATCAAATCAACTAAAACACGTCCTATGTATATTACTAACCTATAGTTGCTGCTAATTACTTTTAAATTCGTTAAAACATTTGGTACTAAACTATCTTCTTTTTTACAACAAATTACTATTAGCGAACTAATATGTTTGCCACCAAAAAGAAATAAAATTTATGAGATAAATTTCAGCGAATAAATTTTCCAAATTTATCAAACATAGTTTTGAGACTAAAATAATCTACCAAACATAATTTAAAAATCTGTCAATATAGTACGAATAGTGTACCTTTTTCTGTTGAAAGACTGTATAAACGCAAAGTCACCTATGATTTATATACTCCATACTTATGCCACACATACATACATACATATATAGCCGCATGTGTTAACGTGAATATGAGTATATATGTCATATCTACTGTATATATGTATACAGATGTATTAATTAGGTAATGTGTACACCATCCATGTACAGCAGTATACATGTGTACCGTGTATGTATTTGTACTGAACATATACACAGTGTGTGTATATTTAATAGATATATATATATATATATACACACACACACATATATAACCTCCCATAGTGTCAAAGCTTATTGGGATCTAAACAAAATTCTCTTCTATCACTTCTCAACCTCTTAAAAGAACAACTTGTGGAATCTGTTTGTGTGGCGACAAGAGTACAGGGCATGCAGTGGCCAAATCAAAAAATAGCATCGAGCTCATCACCGAAGAAATATCCATCCTTACTCAACTCCGCTTCATCGTTCATGAAAACCACAAGGGCCATGAAGCAAAAGTATGAACGTTTGTTCTTGTAGTTATGTGCACGTTGTTTATTTTTACGTACCTTTGTGTCGTCTAGTTTACCATTCCTTTTGGCTGCAAAATCATCAACGTTGAGTATTGTTTTTCCTTCATCATGATCTTCCTGTTTGAGATACCTCTCAAGACGGAAGATCCGAGCCATTGAGTTGATCAAGTAGTCCATGAAATCGCCATGATCATGATGACCAAGACGTGGTTGATCGTCCAGAGACCTGCCGGAACATGAACCGAAAGAGAAAAGGACTAATATGATCAAGAAGGAAATGATTATCAATGAACTCCTTGAATGCATTGTGTTTCTGATTTTTCTCGAATGATCAAAGAGATAAATGTATATTGAATTGTGAAAGCGAATGGAGCTTGTAATGGTCATGAGCATATAAATATTAAGTGAAACAGGGATGTATTATAGTGCGTAGGGTTAGGAAGTTGTGCTAATTATAAAGAAGGATATTGCATGCGGATTATAATTAAGGAATTAGAGCAATATTAGCCAAATATTGGAGTTCATTATAATTATAAGAATTTAAACGAATAAATTAAGTAGAAGATGAAATTTGCCTTTTGTGTAGGGTTGTTAATGCTTACTATGTTTTTCTTTTGCTGGGTTGTCATTTTGGTTGGATTCTAAACCTCTTTATTTTTTTAAGTAAACTTCTTTGTTTTTCTTTCAATTTATCCTTTTAATAAAATATGATGGGGGCTTGATTGAGTTATTTAGTGGGTACCAACCTATAAGTTGGGAGGTGCTAAGTCTCTAAACTCAATTCCTATCTCTCCATTTATTTATTTATTTAAAAAAAAAGAAAAGGAAAAAAGTAGAATGTGATCCTTTGTCACAGCTAGGTGGATTAGGACTTTGAGTAATTCAAACTGTTGTTTTAATTCCTAACTCTCATAAGATATTCTCTCTGGTGGTTGAATTGATCATTAATCTACTTGTTTATTAATTAGTTGTAGCATGAGAAATTATTGTCAAGAGCATGAGGAACCATAAAATGGAGCATTAGTTAGGCAATCTCCGATACAAATGCTAGTGTCAGTAATGCTATATAGTTTATATGACAAAAAATATAAAAACAACATATAACATGTTAATTTTTTTTTGTACTCCACTTCCTTCATGGTCACTCTGTTATGTATGTGTGCAAGGAGAATTAAACACTATAAATATTATATACTCGTTCTTATAAATTTTATGTTTTGGAATTTGTATTAGTTAAGCTTTTGTAGTTTTAAATAATTTAAAAATGGAAAACATTGTAATTATTAAATAAAAAAGTAAACACATTAATCAATGAAAACTAAATACCAAAATTTGATATATGCTATACTTGATGTCAAATTTGACAATAAATACTACATAGATATGTCAAATTTAACATTAAGTATACAATTATAATTGAGAATATATTTCTTACAAATGTCCAATTTTAGCATTAGCATGAAAGATTATCTTAGGACAAGTCTTGTCTAAAATTAAAAAGTAAATTATATTGAAAGCTACATTAAATACATTTTCTATTAAGCTACAAATATTCTCTTTTCGAATAGACCATACCTATATATATAATTGAATTTTATTAGGGAATAAGAAGTAAGATATTTTTTCACAAAATTTCATACAAAACATAAAAAGAAAAAAAAAACTGAATAATGGCACGTGCCCACTGAATCCGTCACTAATCAAGAGTAGTAAAATAATAAGGGATAACATCCACTAATCGCAATTGTGTGTTGCCTTCAACAAGAAAATATTAAAAGGGCAGAGATAAAAATTATATGTCAACTTTTTGAAATTGGAGTACTTTAGTTGAACTGGAGGGTGATTTTAGCATTGGGTTTAGGGATGGAATCCATTCCCATGGATGATGAAGCAGAGACGGTAGGGTTGTTTAAGAGTGAGGCAGCAGGTTGTGTTTCTGATTTATGAAGGAATCTCATGGACGTACGTGGGGAAAATATATATATATATATGTATATATATATAAGAAAGAAACAAAAGCATGTGTAGTACATAGTTTAAGCCGGCAATTTTGATTTTGAATTCAAATTTTATAAAAGAATTCATTGACAAAAATTTTTTATAAGAAAAAATATTATAACAGAATTAGAAATCATAAGTTTAAAAGTGTGAACCAATCAGATCCAAAGTTTTTAAGTTTTTTTTTGTTTTTAAGACGAAAAGTTTCTAATATTGTTGCACGTCTTTTTTTTTTTTTTTTTTTTTTTTTTTTTTCCGGTAGAAATATGCTGCATACTTCCGTGTGTATGAGAGCATGTAGCACTAATTATGTCAGAGGAATAGAATAGAACTACGAATTATGCATGCATACATTTATGGATGGACAGATAATGGGGATATCAGAGGGCAAACTAATTAGAAGCTAGCTTCCTAGTATATATCTGTTTGTAGTTAGTCAGAAAAGGAATTTATAAAGGCAGCCCTTTGAGTAAAACCCCAAAAACAGTGTAATTTGTTTTTCATCTAGTCACATGATCTCTATCCTTCTCACTGGAGATCAAGTAGTAGTATCACGGATGATTTGTTTAGTTCGCTGATTTAAATTGAGATGTGATTTTACGTGAGAATTTTTTATTGTAGTAAAAAAATTAGATGTGACTGTTTCTGAGAACTTTTTATTATAATAAAACTTAAATTTTAAATTCGAATCAATAAAATGAACGAGACTTAATACTACTTAGCATCCCCACTACTCTTATTTAAGGATATAAAATTTTTTTACGTCCTTTTATAATAATCACGTCACGTCAATTTAAATTATCATGTCACACTATAAAAATAAAATAAAAAATAAAATAAAAAAAGAAGAAGAAAGAAACATGTGAGCCAAAGTCTTTATTTGCCTCAATTAATTTGCCTCTCTCTTTCCTTTTTCCCTTTTTGAAAAACAACACAAACAAAGAACAGGTCTCTCTACCCTGCAATAACTGGAATTCAGTCCCAAGTGACGGACGATCCACGTTCGCACGTTATCGCACATTTTGTGATCCACTCACAATAGAAAACAGAAATACTAAACTGACAAACCCTTACGAATACATAGATACACATGTTAGTCTATTAATCATTAATTGAGTTACAAGTATAATACGTGTACATGTTTTTACATAATACATTTGGAGATATCATTGTCTTGGTATGTGTGACGTGAATTCAATATTGGGACTACCCTATGGTGCAGTAGTTACAGCGAGATTAGAAGCTTTGACATGCTTCCAGTGTTCGAAGGAAACTTGAATTTGTTGTGCATATCTTTGATTCTTAGATTCCTTACTGCCAGTCCCTTGCATTTATGAAAGCCGGCAACTAAGAATACATGCACTAATTGTCCAAATCAATAACTAATACAGAACTCGTAATGTATGTTTATGACCGCGTTAATTATAGTCAAAATCAAATCAAAATATGAGGAAGTAGGTAAAATTGATAGAATTTAATAGACTTAAAACAAAAGCCCTGTTGATTTTATTGATTCGAGTTTAAAATTTGAGTTTTGTTACATTAAAAAATTCTCATAAATAGTCACAACTAATATTTTTACTACAATAAAAAGCTCTCACATAAAGTCACATCTCAACTCAAATTAAAAACTCGAATCAGTGAACTAAACTGGTCCAGAGTCTTACTATAAAATCTCGTGTTCTTGATTCACGTAGCATACTTTTATTAGTTAGATAAGCAATGGCACAGAGATAAAAAGATAACAGAGCTTACTCCACCCATATAGAATATACATGTCAAAGGAATATACAGAATATAACAAATTATGCATGTAAATTATAGTATCTTTGTGTTGGTCAGAAAATCTTTGGTAGTATCTGTTTGTATTTCTTAGTTGTCCGGCACTCTCACAACTCTCGTCACTCTCACTGACACACATTTGAAGTAGTATTACGTTTTTGCCTTTTCCTTTTAGAAAGAGAACACAAACAAAGAAGTGAAGAATTGATATCTCTACTACTACTGAAGCCAAAAACCACCCAAAAAGGAAAAAAAAAAAAATATATATATATATATATATATATATGGTGGTTAAAATATGTATAGTGATCTTCTTTCTCTGTATTTCATATTTATTACCAATTTTAAAAACTATGGCGAATAAAGATACTTTCAAGTTTTTATCAATGCACCTCTCTTACGACATTAATTGGCATTCATGATACTGTTAACTCTTATCTTCGTCATCTCCTTCTCCAGACTCTCTCTCTTAATTTTTCCAGTGACATAAACTTATGTGACAGACAATTCCAACATACACTTGCACACACTCAACATAACAATTACTGATTTTAATTCCTAAAATTCGTATATTAATTTTTGAATGTAAAACATAAATAAAAATGTAAATTTTTGACCCATCCCGACCCCTGGTCGCCCCACTACTCGGGCCGGGGGCTTTTTGACAGCGTTTTACTTATTTTTTATCATTTTTTGAGGCCTTTTTTTACAGGCATGCCCAGAAAAAATGTAAAAAAGTTGTATGCAAAATTTGATAATTTTTTAACGTCGTTTTTATTTTATTTTATTTTTCAAACACGAAAAATAAAGGAAATTAGAAAAAATAGAATATTCAACAAAAAATTGTGCCACTTGTTGCATTAATTCCTAAAAATCATATATTAATTTTAGAATGCAAAACATAAATAAAAATGTAAATTTTTTACCCATCCCGGCCCCAAGGCGCCCCTCTACGAGGGCTTGAGGCTTTTTGACAGTGTTTTACTTTTTTTAATAATTTTTTGAGGTCATTCTTTCCTGGCATGCCCAGCAAAATGTGATGATCGTGTCTACAAAATTTCATAATTTTTTGACCTCCTTTTTTATTTTATTTTATTTTTTAAAGATAAAAAATAAAGAAAATCATAAAAAATAGAATATTCATAAAAAATGGAGCCGCTTATTGGATTAATTCCTAAAAATTGTATATTAATTTTAGAATGCAAAAAATAAATAAAAATATAAATTTTTGACCCATCCCGGCCCCTGGGCGCCTCACTACGCAGCCCATGGGCTTTTTGATAGCGTTTTACTTTTTTTGTCTTTTTTTGATGCCTTGTTTTGCAGGCATGTGCAGAAAAATGTAAGGATCTTCTATGCAAAATCTCATAATTTTTTGACATCGTTTTTATTTTATTTTATTTTTCAAACACAAAAAATAAAGAAAATCATAAAAAATAGAATATTCATCAAAAAATGGTACCGCTTATTACATTATTTCCTAAAAATGGTATATTAATTTTAGAATACAAAACATAAATAAAAATATAAAATTTTGACCCATCCCGGCCCCTGGGCGCCCAACTACGCGGGCCGAAGGCTTTTTGACTGCATTTTACTTTTTTTTTGCCATTTTTTAAGGCCATTATTTCCAAGCATGCTCAGAAACATGCAAAGATGGTGTCTGCAAAATTTCATAATTTTTTGACATCATTTTTATTTTTTTTTATTTTTCAAACACGAAAAATAAGTAAAAATATAAAAAATAGAATGTTCATAAAAAAATGGTGCCGCTTGTTGCATTAACTCCTAAAAATCGTATATTATTTTTAGAATGTGAAACATAAATAAACATATAAAATTTTGACCCATCTCAGCCCCTAGGCGCCCCACTACGCTGGCCGGGGGCTTTTTGACGCGTTTTACTTTTTTTTATCATTTTTTGAGGCCATTATTTCCAGGCATCCCTAGAAGAGGTAAAGATGATGTCTGTAAAATTTCATAATTTTTTGACATCATTTTTATTTTATTTTATTTTTCAAGTACGAAAAATAAAGAAAATCATAAAAATAGAATATTCATCAAAAAATATTGACTCTTGTTGCATTAATTCTAAAAAATTGTATATTAATTTTAGAATACTAAACATAAATAAAAATATAAATTTTTGACCCATCTCGGCCCCTAGGTGTCCCACTACGCTGGCCGGGAGCTTTTTGACAGCGTTTTATTTTTTTGTCATTTTTGAGGCCCTGTTTTGTAGGCACGCCTAGAAAAATGTAAGAATCTTCTATGCAAAATTTCATAATTTTTTGACGTGGTTTTTATTTTATTTTATTTTTGATTAACGAAAAATAAAGAAAATCATAAAAATAGAATATTTATCAAAAAATGGTGCCGCTTATTGCATTAATTCCTAAAAATCGTATATTAATTTTAGAATGCAAAACATAAATAAAAATATAAATTGTTGACCCATCCCGGACCTTAAGTGCCCCACTACGCGGGCCGGGGTTTTTTAACAATGTTTTATTTATTTTTTGTCAGCTTTTGAGGCCATTGTTTCCAGGCATGCTCAGAAAAATGTAAAGATGGTGTCTGCACAATTTCATAATTTTTTGACATTGTTTTTATTTTATTTTATTTTTCAAACACGAAAAATAAAGAAAATCATAAAAAATAGAATATTCATCAAAAAATGGTGCCGCTTGTTGCATTCATTCTTAAAAATCATATATTAAATTTAGAATACAAAACATAAATAAAAATGTAAACTTTTTCCCATCCCAGCCCCTAGGCTCTCCACTACGCGAACTTGGGGCCTTTTGATAGTGTTTTATGGTTTTTTGTCATTTTTTGAAACTATTTTTTGCAGGCATGCCCAACAAAATGTGAGGATCGTGCCTACAAAATTTCATAATTTTTTGACATCATTTTTATTTTATTTTATTTTTCAAAGATAAAAAATAAAGAAAATCATAAAAAATAAAATATTCATCAAAAAATGGTGCCGCTTATTGCATTAATTCTAAAAAAAATCATATATTAATTTAGGACGTAAAACATAAATATAAATATAAATTTTTTATCCATCTCGGCCCTAGGGCGTCCCGCTACGCGGGCCGGGGGCTTTTTAACAGTGTTTTACTTTTTTTTTCTTATTTTTTTAGGCCATTTTTTCTAGCATGCCTAAAAAAATGTAAGGACTGTGTCTACAAAATTTCATTTTTTTGACGTAATTTTTATTTTATTCTATTTCTTAAAGATGAAAAATAATGAAAATCATAAAAAATAGAATATTCATCAAAAAA